ATAAAGAGTATCAAAGTTAAATTCCTACTTGTTAAAGTTGAAATTGGAACTTTTGTTTCGTCCCTAATTCCAAAACTAATAGATTTATGAACTTCAAAATTTTAGAACACATTTACAAAGAGTAGAAAAATTATTCTGCAAACAAAATTCTTAAATATCAACAGCTGTTAAAGATAGACAGTATCAAAGTTAAATTCCTACTTGTTAAAGTTGAAATTGGAACCTTTGTTTCGTCCTTAATTCCAAAAATAATAGATTTATAAACTTCAAAATTTCAGAACACATTTATAAAGAGTGTAGAAAGATCATTTTGCAAACAAAATTCTCAAATATCAACAGCTGTTAAAGATAGAGAGTATCAAAGTTAAATTCCTACTTGTTAAAGTTGAAATTGGAACTTTTGTTTCGTCCCTAATTCCAAAACTAATAGATTTATGAACTTCAAAATTTTAGAACACATTTACAAAGAGTAGAAAAATTATTCTGCAAACAAAATTCTTAAATATCAACAGCTGTTAAAGATAGACAGTATCAAAGTTAAATTCCTACTTGTTAAAGTTGAAATTGGAACCTTTGTTTCGTCCTTAATTCCAAAAATAATAGATTTATAAACTTCAAAATTTCAGAACACATTTATAAAGAGTGTAGAAAGATCATTTTGCAAACAAAATTCTCAAATATCAACAGCTGTTAAAGATAGAGAGTATCAAAGTTAAATTCCTACTTGTTAAAGTTGAAATTGGAACTTTTGTTTCGTCCCTAATTCCAAAACTAATAGATTTATGAACTTCAAAATTTTAGAACACATTTACAAAGAGTAGAAAAATTATTCTGCAAACAAAATTCTTAAATATCAACAGCTGTTAAAGATAGACAGTATCAAAGTTAAATTCCTACTTGTTAAAGTTGAAATTGGAACCTTTGTTTCGTCCTTAATTCCAAAAATAATAGATTTATAAACTTCAAAATTTCAGAACACATTTATAAAGAGTGTAGAAAGATCATTTTGCAAACAAAATTCTCAAATATCAACAGCTGTTAAAGATAGAGAGTATCAAAGTTAAATTCCTACTTGTTAAAGTTGAAATTGGAACCTTTGTTTCATCCCTAATTCCAAAACTAATAAATTTATGAACTTCAAAATTTCAGATCACATTTATAAAGAGTGTAGAAAGATTATTCTGTAAACAAAATTCTTAAATATCAACAGCTGTTAAAGATAAAGAGTATCAAAGTTAAATTCCTACTTGTTAAAGTTGAAATTTGAACCTTTGTTTCGTCCCTAATTCCAAAACTAATAAATTTATAAACTTCAAAATTTGAGAACACATTTATAAAGAGTGTAGAAAGATTATTCTGCAAACAAAATTCTTAAATATCAATAGCTGTTAAAGATAGAGAGTAACAAAGTTTAATTCCTACTTGTTAAAGTTGAAATTGGAACCTTTCTTTTGTCCCTAATTCCAAAACTAATAGATTTATAAACTTCAAAATTTCAGATCACATTTATAAAGAGTGTAGAAAGATTATTCTGCAAACAAAATTCTTAAATATCAACAGCTGTTAAAGATAAAGAGTATCAAAGTTAAATTTCTACTTGTTAAAGTTGAAATTGGAACCTTTGTTTCGTCCCTAAATCCAAAACTAATAGATTTATAAACTTCAAAATTTGAGAACACATTTATAAAGAGTGTAGAAATATTATTCTGCAAACAAAATTCTTAAATATCAACAGCTGTTGAAGATAAATAGTATCAAAGTTAAATTCCTACTTGTTAAAGTTGAAATTGGAACCTTTGTTTCGTCCCTAAATCCAAAGCTAATAGATTTATAAACTTCAAAACTTTAGAACACATTTATAAAGAGTGTAGAAAGATTATTCTGCAAACAAAATTCTTAAATATCAATAGCTGTTAAAGATAGAGAGTAACAAAGTTTAATTCCTACTTGTTAAAGTTGAAATTGGAACCTTTGTTTCGTCCTTAATTCCAAAACTAATAGATTTATAAACTTCAAAATTTCAGAACACATTTATAAAGAGTGTAGAAAGATTATTCTATAAACAAAATTCTTAAATATCAACAGCTGTTAAAGATAGAGAGTATCAAAGTTAAATTCCTACTTGTTAAAGTTGAAATTGGAACCTTTCTTTTGTCCCTAATTCCAAAACTAATAAATTTATAAACTTCAAAATTTCAGATCACATTTATAAAGAGTGTAGAAAGATTATTCTGCAAACAAAATTCTTAAATATCAACAGCTGGTAAAGATAAAAAGTATCAAAGTTAAATTTCTACTTGTTAAAGTTGAAATTGGAACTTTTGTTTCGTCCCTAATTCCAAAACTAATAGATTTATGAACTTTAAAATTTTAGAACACATTTACAAAGAGTGTAGAAAAATTATTCTGCAAACAAAATTCTTAAATATCAACAGCTGTTAAAGATAGACAGTATCAAAGTTAAATTCCTACTTGTTAAAGTTGAAATTGGAACCTTTGTTTCGTCCTTAATTCCAAAACTAATAAATTTATAAACTTCAAAATTTCAGATCACATTTATAAAGAGTGTAGAAAGATTATTCTGTAAACAAAATTCTTAAATATCAACAGCTGTTAAAGATAAAGAGTATCAAAGTTAAATTCCTACTTGTTAAAGTTGAAATTTGAACCTTTGTTTCGTCCCTAATTCCAAAACTAATAAATTTATAAACTTCAAAATTTCAGATCACATTTATAAAGAGTGTAGAAAGATTATTCTGTAAACAAAATTCTTAAATATCAACAGCTGTTAAAGATAAAGAGTATCAAAGTTAAATTCCTACTTGTTAAAGTTGAAATTGGAACTTTTGTTTCGTCCCTAATTCCAAAACTAATAGATTTATGAACTTTAAAATTTTAGAACACATTTACAAAGAGTGTAGAAAAATTATTCTGCAAACAAAATTCTTAAATATCAACAGCTGTTAAAGATAGACAGTATCAAAGTTAAATTCCTACTTGTTAAAGTTGAAATTGGAACCTTTGTTTCGTCCTTAATTCCAAAACTAATAAATTTATAAACTTCAAAATTTCAGATCACATTTATAAAGAGTGTAGAAAGATTATTCTGTAAACAAAATTCTTAAATATCAACAGCTGTTAAAGATAAAGAGTATCAAAGTTAAATTCCTACTTGTTAAAGTTGAAATTTGAACCTTTGTTTCGTCCCTAATTCCAAAACTAATAAATTTATAAACTTCAAAATTTGAGAACACATTTATAAAGAGTGTAGAAAGATCATTTTGCAAACAAAATTCTCAAATATCAACAGCTGTTAAAGATAGAGAGTAACAAAGTTTAATTCCTACTTATTAAAGTTGGAATTGGAACCTTTGTTTCGTCCCTAATTCCAAAACTAATAGATTTATAAACTTCAAAATTTCAGAACACATTTATAAAGAGTGTAGAAAGATTATTCTGCAAACAAAATTCTTAAATATCAACAGCTGTTAAAGATAAAGAGTATCAAAGTTAAATTCCTACTTGTTAAAGTTGAAATTGGAACTTTTGTTTCGTCCCTAATTCCAAAACTAATAGATTTATGAACTTCAAAATTTTAGAACACATTTACAAAGAGTAGAAAAATTATTCTGCAAACAAAATTCTTAAATATCAACAGCTGTTAAAGATAGACAGTATCAAAGTTAAATTCCTACTTGTTAAAGTTGAAATTGGAACCTTTGTTTCGTCCTTAATTCCAAAAATAATAGATTTATAAACTTTAAAATTTCAGAACACATTTATAAAGAGTGTAGAAAGATCATTTTGCAAACAAAATTCTCAAATATCAACAGCTGTTAAAGATAGAGAGTATCAAAGTTAAATTCCTACTTGTTAAAGTTGAAATTGGAACCTTTGTTTCATCCCTAATTCCAAAACTAATAAATTTATGAACTTCAAAATTTCAGATCACATTTATAAAGAGTGTAGAAAGATTATTCTGTAAACAAAATTCTTAAATATCAACAGCTGTTAAAGATAAAGAGTATCAAAGTTAAATTCCTACTTGTTAAAGTTGAAATTTGAACCTTTGTTTCGTCCCTAATTCCAAAACTAATAAATTTATAAACTTCAAAATTTGAGAACACATTTATAAAGAGTGTAGAAATATTATTCTGCAAACAAAATTCTTAAATATCAGCAGCTGTTAAAGATAGAGAGTATCAAAGTTAAATTCCTACGTGTTAAAGTTGAAATTGGAACCTTTGTTTCGTCCCTAATTCCAAAACTAATAAATTTATAAACTTCAAAATTTGAGAACACATTTATAAAGAGTGTAGAAATATTATTCTGCAAACAAAATTCTTAAATATCAACAGCTGTAACTGTGTGATGTGTGAATGGCTCTTAAATGTCAAATTATTTAAAAATGTATGCTTCTTATATTTATTGCAAATAGTTTGTAGTGAATCTCAATTCAGGCTTTCCATAAATGAAGGTACAGCAAGACAGATAATATAATGTTTTTATACAAAGCACTGTGATCTAAATTTATGTCCAATCCCATGTGAGTTATAGCAAAAAGTTAATGAAATTTAACTAAAAATAGAAAACGATGTTGCCTAAACAAATTGTTACACATTCCTATAATATAATATGCAACCGGAAATGTATATATAATAAATACTAAATTGAATTATGACTGTGAGTGAATTTATCAAAATTTTACGGGATTTTGTTCTATTCAGTTCCATTGGCGGCGTAAACTTATTTTAAAATCCATAATTTTTAATTTATTACTGCCCCGAGAAAACCTTTGCGGAGCCCCAGGGCTCCGCGGAGTACATTTTGAGAAACAGTGCCTCATATTATACCAAATGATTTATAATTTTTTTTTTTGGCATAGGCACATTGCCATTCAGCCAGACACTATTTATAATTTAATTCATAGTAACTTGTAATGAAAGTAAAGATTTATTTTTCTATATTATTTGTAATATTTCTATTTTTTCTTTTTTCAGGAACAAAGTTCCTGTGTTCAGAAGTGATAGCACCCATACGAAGCGAAGTGGATGACATCAGTTTAATCATCATCAACTTCGAAGATTTGACGACGGTGCCAGCGTCTTCTTTAGAAAACAGCCCCATCGGCAAAAATAGATTAAGTAAATGTAGGTAAATAATAAGATTATTTTTATAACTTATTTTCTACTCAATTGCTTTGGTTGCATTGTAAATGAGTGCTAGATTTCTACAGGGTATTCAACAATACTCGTTTTCCATGTAGTAGTTTCAGTTTTCATAGAAAGTAGAAGAGATGTGAGGGTATCAGATCACTACTTCCAAAAGTCGCCGCTAGATGGATCTGACAGGTAGTGCTATCTAGCGGCGATTTTTTGAAGTAGTGGTCTCATACCCTCACATCTCTTCTACTTTCTATGAAAATTGAAATAAGTGCTGTAAAAATGATATTTCTTCCTTAGAAAATAAGGTTTCTTCTTTTTTAAGCCGTTTTGACAGCTCTGCTTTCTTTCCCATCGTCTGCAGATGACGAACCTGTAATTTTCCTGTCATTTAAATCACACAGTTTCTTAGTCATTATTGTCCATTATCAATTTATAATCCCACTTCTGATGAGTACACCTAATTATTATCTCTAAGTTACTCATTAAGATATTTAAAACGAGAATTTATTTGCTTTGTTTTAGTTGGTAGAGCTCGCGCTTCGTTTCGACAAAGTTTAAGGTTAGGTACAAACATTCGAGGTAGGGGATTAAGACTAGCTGGGTATCTTACGCCACCCAGTGACGTTACAGCTGCCGAGGAGGAAGAGGAGGGATTGGAACAATGGTAAGTACCACATTTATACATATACATTTCATTGGGAAACGTCTAAATAAAAACTTTAATATACAGCCCATTGCAAGTTTTTAAATTGTCACATGGTATATTAAAATTATATTTTAGTCCATTGACTTCAAGTGCACCGGCGCCCATCTTGGAACAAACGTGGGTATCGAAAGCAGATGGTCCGATGGGTCCCATCCAAACTATGATCCCCGCATCAGCTCAAATAAAAGACTATACGGCCTTGACGATATCGCATAGCGCGCCTGCTAGTCATCAGGCGTCCTTCGAGAGGGGGGAGAGCGTAGAAAGGACCCCCCGCCCGTTGCACTCCACTAATAGTAGTAATAATAATAATAGTAATAATAGGTACGTTATAAAGTATTTATTAAATTATTTATTGATACAGGTGCAGAAATTATATATATAAACAAAAAAAAAAACAAAATTTTACCAAATTTAATTTTAATTATAATCTATTATGACTTTTAAACACAAACATTAGACTTTTGACTTTTAAATATACCTTATTTTGACTTTTTTCTAATTTTGTCTTTTCTGCATATTTTTTTCTATTCCTGATATGGACATAGAAATAATATTTAGCTTATCCAAATACGACTCTATTTTGGATCGTACATTACGTCTAAATCGTGTTATAAATAACTTTTTCTACTCCTACACTATAAGTGTTAATTAATTCTTCATTCAGTTGATAAAACAAATAATAAAATTCATAATAATTTGCTCTCTTCATCTACGAGTATAAATTTGTGATTAATTATGGTACACTTTAAGTACTTTTTAATAATTGTACTATTCAAAATTTCTATTTAAACAAAATTGATTGAAATGTAACTTACACAATCTTGGAAATTCAAAAATCAAGACTTACATATTCAAGTTTAACAAATTAAATTTAAAAAATTAAAAAAATAAAGCAATATTAAAAAATGTACGGGGGGATGTAATGAATCAATCCTAAAAAAAATCATTTTGGGTCCACTACTGACGATTTCATCAATAACTATTTTAAGCCAATTATTTTGACTGTCTTTTTATACAATTTCAGGCAACATCACGTGATACAAAACAAAGTGTCGCATGCTACCAGTTTAGATGCCATAGCGAGAAGACAATGCTTCAAAAGTGGATACCCCACCGTTAGCCTTTGTAAGTGACCTTTAGATAATACACCTGTAGCCTTTAATTACATTTTTATACTATCAAAATGTCATCAAATTTTTTTATTTACAAGAAAATTTGTAAATTTATAAACCTTTATATTACTTTTTCCTCTTTTAGCAAACAAACCTCAATTAACTAAACAGTTTCACAACGTTTCGTCCGAGAGCGATCTTCAGAGGTATAGAGCTGCGCACGGCAGTGATAGAAAAAGTCCAAGTTTATCGAATCCAGCGGACTCGTTGAAGCAAAAGGTTTGTCAGCAAGTACGTTGATGTCTTTTTTATTATATTTTCTTAAAACTATTTAGATATATTATTATCGAAAATGAGGTAAGTTGAAACTTTAAAATTCCCTTAGGGACGACTCCTAACCAAAGAATTTGTAACGTTATAAATAACATTTCAATAATTATACAATCCTGGGAAAAATATTCAGGCATGCCACTGGTACGAATAAAATAGTTGTTAAACAATTACTTAAATTTCACACTAAAATCAAAGTAATTTACCAAACGGTCTATAAATTCAATTGTCTTGACTGAACTGTCCATACTTATATTATACCAGTAACTCAACAAGTAAGAGGCCATATAAGAGAAGAAAAGGTATATAAAAGAAGAAGAAAAGAAAAAAATCCGCGGGGTTATTTAAAATTGACAGTAAAAATTCCGCGCATTAAAAACTGTTTGTTTATGCAAACTCCATTGTTGTGTTATTATTCGCTTGTTAGGAGGGTATTTTTTTACTTGAAATTCGGATTCAGCGCCTTAAAAAACCCCCCATAACGATTTTGGGTTCGTCTTCTTTGATTGTGTGAGGAAAACTCTCGGAGACGACGTCCAGGGCCAGGTTCTGGTGCACTAGGTGGTCGGGGAACTTTTTATGACGTTAAATTTGGATTAAGCGCTTCAAAAAATGCCCATACAATTGTTTTTGACGATCTTGTTAGGATAATTCTCGGGGATGACGTTTTTGTCCAGGTTCGGGCCCACCAGGTGCCCGAAAGGTGTTCCATGATGTCACATTTGAATTCAGAAACCCAAAAAAAGCCCCGGGCGCCGAGTTTCTCTTCCTCCCTGCGTGATTTTTGGGAGAGTTCCACGGAGATGACGTTCAGAGCCAGCTTCCGGTGCACCAGGTGTTGGAGGGGTTGTTTCGATGGGAAATTCGGATTCAATGCTTAAAAAAAACCGTCCATAACGATTTTGTGTTCGTCTTTTTCGATTGTGTGAGGAAAACCCTCGAAGATGAGGTTCGAGTCTAGGTTCACCAGGTGTTCAGGAGATCGTTTTCGACGTAAAATTTGGATTAAGTGACCCTAAAACGCTCTTACAATGATTTTCGGGTTATTTTGGCGATCTTGTCAGGAAAATTCTCGGGGATGACGTCCAGGTTCGTGCGCACCAGGTGCCAGGGGAGTATTCGCCGATGCCACATTTGAATTCAGCACCCCTAAAAAACTCCCATAACGATTTTTAATTCGTCTTTTTCGATTGTGTAAGGAAAACCCTCGAAGATGAGGTCCGAGTCTAGGTTCACCAGGTGTTCTGGGGTCGTTTTCGACGTGAAATTTGGATTCAGCGTCCCAAAAAACCCTCCATAGCGATTTTGTGTTTGTCTTTTTCGATTGTGTGAGGATAACTCTCGAAGATGAGGTCCGAGTCTAGGTTCACCAGGTGTTCAGGGGGTCGTTTTAGACGTGAAATTTGGAATAACCGTACCAAAAAACCCTCCATAATGATTTTGCGTTCGTCTTCTTCGATTGTGTGAGAAAAACCCTCGAAGATGAGGTCCACATCTAGGTTCACCTGGTGTTTAGGAGATCGTTTTAGACGTGAAATTTAGATTAAGCGCCACTAAAAACGTCCCTACAATGATTTTCGGGTTGTTTTCGGCGATTTTGTCAGAAAATTTCTCGGGGATGACGTCCAGGTTCGGGCGCACCAGGTGCCAGGGGAGTATTCGCCGATGCCACATTTGAATTCAGCACTCCTAAAAAACTCCCATAACGATTTTCAATTTGTCTTTTTCGATTGTGTAAGGAAAAGTCGCGAAGATGAGGTCCACGTCCAAGTTCCAGTGCACCAGGTGTTCAGGGGGTCGTTTTCGACGTAAAATTTTGATTCAGCGCCCCAAAAAAACCCTCCATAGCGATTTTGTGTTCGTCGTTTTCGATTGTGTGAGGATAACTCTCGAAGATGAGGTCCGAGTCTAGGTTCACCAGGTGTTCAGGGGGTCGTTTTCGACGTGAAATTTGGATTAACCGTACCAAAAAACCCTCCATAATGATTTTGGGTTCGTCTTCTTCGATTGTGTGAGGAAAACCCTCGAAGATGAGGTCCACATCTAGGTTCACCAGGTGTTTAGGAGATCGTTTTCGACGTTAAATTTGGATTAAGCGCCCCTAAAACGCTCTTACAATGATTTTCGGGTTATTTTTGGCGATCTTGTCAGGAAAATTCTCGGGGATGACGTCCAGGTTCGGGCGCACCAGGTATCAGGGGAGTGTTCGCCGATGCCACATTTGAATTCAGCACCCCTAAAACCAAAAACGCTCCTACAATGATTTTCGGGTTGTTTTTGATGGTCTTATCAGAAAAATTCTCGGGGATGACGTCTACGTCCAAGTTCTGGCGCACCAGGCTCCGACGATGTTACATTTGAATTCAGCACCCCTAAAAAACTCCCATAACGATTTTCGGTTCGTCTTCTTTGATTGTGTAAGGAAAACCCTCGAGGACGACGTTCAGGCCCAGGTTCTGGTGCACTAGGGGTTCGGAGGAACCTTTTTTGACGTTAAATTTAGATTAGACGGCTCAAAAACGTCTTTACCATGATTTTAGGGTTGTTTTCGGCGATTTTGCCAGTAAAATTCTCGGGGATGACGTCCACGTCCAGGTTTATGCGCACCCCAAAAAAACTCCCATAACGATTTTTAGTTCATCTTTTTCGATTGTGTGAGGAAAACCCTCGAAGATGAGGTCCACGTCTAGGTTCACCAGGTGTTCAGGAGATCGTTGTCGATGTGAAATTTAAATTAAGCGCCCCAAAAACGACCCTACAAAGAGTTTCGGGTCTTATCAGGAAAATTCTCGGGGATGACGTCCACGTCCACATTCTGGCACACCAGGTGTCCGGGGGGTGTTCGCGGATGCCATATTTGAATTCAGCGACCCAAAAAAACCCCTGGACACCGAGTTTATCTCCATTCTCACGTTAATTTCGGGAGAGTACCACGGAGATGACGTTCATTGTCGTTCCTGAGCTCCAGGTCGGCTGTGGGTCAATTTGAACATCATAATCATGATCAGTGACCTCGAAAACCTCCTAGAACCCGATTTGGGCCAGTTTTGACTCTTATTTACAAAGTTCTTTAATCTTCCAAAAGCCGTTTCAAATAATGCATTTTTTTAATGCATTTTTGGGACATTTTTTTCCAAAATATTTTCTTGTAACCTTTTTAGTGCTTCATTTTCTCGACTAATACATGTTTTTGAAAATATTAAAAATAAATATCAGTTTCTTTAGGAAGAACAGTTCACTGAACAGACTACATCTGAACCTACTCTTAAGAACTGTTCCCGTTCCGTTCCTTTCTTAACATCTCTACTACAAACTCGCTTCATGCTCCCTCTAGTGGTGATTGTTTAGAGATTGTGACAGTTAATAATTGTTCTCCAATAAAATAATTTATTTCTTCATGTTAAACACGGTTTAAAAGCATTAAACAAACTCTAACCTTCGTTAAAACTGTTGTCTAACTCGAACTTTGATTTTTACGTGTGGTTTTACCCGTAATTACAGTGTTTTCGTGTTGAAAAAATGCCCGGTTTTCGGTATTGCTGAAAGTGTTGCAAAATTCATCAGTGTATTCTGCTGTAAGTACAATTAAATTATTCATTTCAAATTTCCAAGATTGATTCGTATCGTTTGCTATCAATTTATGCATAACAATATCAAATTTCAGTGTAATAAAAGCAATTTGTTTTAAAACCGCCATTTTGTTTAAATTTTTATCGACAAACGGGTATATTGATTGTAACGATCTTGATCAATTTCCACGAGTCGCTTCGCGTGCTGTCGTTTCTGTTTTTTGGTTTCTAGCGCGTATCTCGGTGCGAGTTGTCAGAATTATGCTTTCTCGCTGTTGCCAGGTCGTTTCAAATTTCTGATTTCTCGCGAAAATTTATTATTCTTGTTGCCAAGTTTAAAATTCACCAGAATATTTGCTTATAAATTAGAATTAGTAGTTTATGCAATGGATATGGACAATCAACTCGAGTTGAGTTGTACGACCTATTAACGAAAGTCTACCGAATTTTAAAATTAGTTTAGGTTCTAAGAGAAAATAATTAATAAAATTAATAGAAATTAATAGAAATTGATAGACATTGATCAAAATTGATAGAAATTGATAAAAAATTTATAGAAATTGATAAAAATTGATAGAAATTGATGGAAATTGGTGGAAATTGATGGAAATTGATGGAAATTGATGGAAATTGATGGAAATTGATGAAATTGATGGAAATTGATTGAAATTGATAGGAATTGATTAAACTTGATAGGAATTGATAGAAATTAATAGAAATTAATAGAAATTGATAGAAATTGATTAAACTTGATAAGAATTGATAGAAATTAATAGAAATTGATAGAAATTGATAGAAATTGATAGAAATTGATAGAAATTGATAGAAATTGATAGAAATTGATAGAAATTGATAGAAATTGATAGAAATTGATAGAAATTGATAGACATTGATAGAAATTGATAGAAATTGATAGAAATTGATAGAAATTGATAGAAATTGATAGAAATTGATAGAAATTGATAGAAATTGATAGAAATTGATAGAAATTGATAGAAATTGATAGAAATTGATAGAAATTGATAGAAATTGATAGAAATTGATAGAAATGATAGAAATTGATAGAAATTGATAGAAATTGATAGAAAATTGATAGAAATTGATAGAAATTGATAGAAATTGATAGAAATTGATAGAAATTGATAGAAATTGATAGAAATTGATAGAAATTGATAGAAATTGATAGAAATTGATAGAAATTGATAGAAATTGATAGAAATTGATAGAAATTGATAGAAATTGATAGAAATTGATAGAAATTGATAGAAATTGATAGAAATTGATAGAAATTGATAGAAATTGATAGAAATTGATAGAAATTGATAGAAATTGATAGAAATTGATAGAAATTGATAGAAATTGATAGAAATTGATAGAAAT